AGGTGTCAGAGGGTGACATCCAGCCCCGCAGCGCCTTCCCTCCTGCTCCCAGCCTGGCACCCTGCCTGCAGCTTTGGGCTCCACTAATTTTTGACTCGGTGCCTGGCGTCGTTACCCAGATCCCCCGTCTTAAATCCTCGCCGTAGCGTTTTCCTTAAAGCTGATAAGAAGCTGAAGCTGTTCTTAGCTCTCAGCTTCAGAAAGGAATCACTTGAATAATAGTTTGATTTAGTGTTTAAGCATCCAGATGTCTGCGGGGAGGAGAGCAGCTCTTCAGCAGCGATGTCAACGTGCCAAGTTCGGTGTTGAACCCGGAGCTGCCCTGGCTGGAGTTTCTCAAACCAAATGTCGATGAGCCCTTGTCTTACCGCCCCTCCCGTCCCCAAACACCAGTTTTACGGCTTTATTAAATCCTTCCCATTGACAAAAAGGTGGAGAAAAGCACCAAATGATGTTCCTCAGTGAAGCCTTGAGCAGCTCAGTCCTCTGCAGGAGCAATCTCCTCCTTGACCATCCCTCTGCAAGTTCAACCATGGAGGTGGCTTCTTTGAGAAAGTGCTTTGAGTACTGGCCAAGTCAAAATAAACCCGATTACAGGGACGGGATCATCTAGAAAAGGTCGTGTCTACCTGAACACTTGTCACTGCTCTTCACACTTGGTTGAGTCCTCTTGTTTTGTTCTGGTCCAGGACCAGAGAAGGTTTTGGTGAGCACCGGGGAGGATCTGGGCTCTTCCCGGTGTCAGGACAAGAGACTATGGGCACAAACTGGAACACAGGGACAGGTATTCAGGCATTATAAACTTTAATGTGAGGTTGGTGCTGTAGAGATCCGGCTCTTAGGGCTGGAGGGTGGGGAAATCCAGTGGTGTGGGGCTGCCAGAGGTTCGCAGCCCATTCCTGAGACAGCAGCAGGGCATTTGCCACGATTTAAAACGGTTTTTAAGCAGCCGCCGCTATAATCTCGTTGCTGTCAGGTCAGGAGTTGAGCTGGTGTTTTACCATCCGAAGGGCCCCTGAGCGATTCAGCCCGGGACGAGGACTCGCCTCGATCAGGCAGAGCAAAACGGGGCCCTTACGGCCTCCTGTGCCAGCAGGAAAGCAAATCTTTTGGGAATAAACCTCCACCCCGTGTCAGGTTGTACCTATGGCAGCTGTCAGATGCAAAGGTCGGCGTAAAACCTGGCCGGTTTCTGCTTTCTGAGCCCCGAACCAGCTCCCCGGTCCCGCTCGTGTTGCACCGGAAAGATGTAAAATAACAAAACCATTCTTTTTGGTAGGGCTGGGCACTTGCAGCTTTGCTTTGCGGATCCTGGATATTATTCCCTTTTCCCAGCTCGTCGCCGGTGGCCGACGGTGGCTCAAGCCGTGCCTGGGCAAAGCCCGAATTGTTTTCATGGCACCGCCACGCTGGAGGCTGCTTGGAGTTTGTTTCTTACCCGCCCAGTCCTCTCTAAACATGCCAACCGTGAGCTTTGGGGTTTTTTAATCTCGCTTGGTTTCACATTTTATTAATCCAGGCACCGCCCGCGACTTCTTGCCCTTCCACCGAGCCCGGTCGTCGCGACGCTCCAGCTCGGCTTCCCAGCCTGCTCGAAAACGCAGCCGGGTCCTACAGCGCCGCTGGGAGAACTTGGTGGTTTTAGGAATGAGAGAACTGGGTTTGGGATTGGGCTGGTGCTGGGGACACAGGGTATCCCGGCCACGGGCGATGGTTTGGAGCTCGGATTCCCTTAATCTCCTGCAGATGTGCTGGGGGGGGGAATTAGCCTTATAAATTTGCCTTTGGGATAATCCGCTCGAGGGGATTAAAAGGTTTCCGCTGCTAACGAGAAGGATGCTCTTTCTTCAGCTCGACGTGTTTAAAGACCTCCTTGATCTTTTTTTTGTGGGGATGCAAGCAGCCAAGCTCGAACTCCAGATGTCCCAGCTTCATCCCTGGTGGAACAGAACCCTCGTGATGTGACGGGACTCGTGGTCCCAGAGATGGGGTTTCCAGGATCCTGTGTCGCTTCGTGAAGTCCTGGTCTGCTCCGTGGTCGTGCTTACTCCGCGAGTGCCCCGCTCTTGCCACCTCGGGCACAAATAACATGATTTTTTAAACTCATTGTTTTGAGACGGGGGGAGAGCGGGAGAGCTGGAATCACTTTTCATCTACAAATCCCGTTTCTCTCCTGACAGCTTGTGGTTGTGTCCAACCCAAGGGGGCTTTTTCCTGAAGGTTTATCCTATTTCATAGAATTTGCAGCCCCTGGAGCAGCAGCCTGAGATGACCTCTTCCACCTTGGCCATCAAATCTAAGGAAGGACTGGCCATGGCCTGGAGATTCTGTGGGGTTTGGTGGCTCCCTGATGCTCACCAGCTCCTGGAGGAGATTTTGAGGGACGCCGGTGGGACACACTCCACCCTGGTTCCTCGCCAGCGTACAAACGTCCGTCGGGTGAGGTGGGTCTCCCAAAAAAAAATCCATCCAAGGCCCCTCGGCTCTTCCTGGAGCCTCCTCCCGTGCCCGATGCCTTTTCCCTGTCAATCTAAACCCAGCTCTCTCAGTATTTGATGGGTTTTAGGGAGAAATGGGATCCTTCTCTCCCCAGACCTGCCAACGAACCAGCGTGCCAGAGGGTTTTGTGTCCCAAGCTGGGAATTTGCTCAGTGTGAGGGTCTCCGGCCGACCTTCTCGCCTCAGCTTGAGGGCTGGATTTCATCAGAGAACTCACCGCAGTTCATCGGAGAAACTTTAATTTGGTTTCTCCGCCTGCGAAACGAGCAACTTGGTTTTGTTAATCCTCTGAGCCCGACTCTTGGGCTCCCGTCTGAGCCCGGCGAGGCTCGCTCGAACCCTTTGCACTCTCCCAAAGCGTTCCAAAAGCTCTTAACCGAGCTTTGCTTTTCTGAGACGAGCAGGAAACTTAAGGGCTCGAAACACAGGCCCTAAAAAAGCTTTAACAGCCCTTGGTCTCGATATATGTTGGACCTTGGAGAACAAAGTAGCTCTGAAACTTGGAGGAGAAACTGGGGTTAAAACCCCACATAAAGGGGGAATATTTCCATCCTGGGTGCGAGTTCGGGCCGTAGCGGCGAAAGGTTTTGGCCAAACCCTGCCTGTTCTTAACCGACGGCTTCGTTTTGTCGCCGTCTCTTGCGTGTGACGGAAACGGTGGTTGTTGCACTTCCTGGCCGTGGGCAAACAAACGCTCGCGGGATCACCAGCCCTTGGGCACGGGCCACGAGCTTCCGAAAGCCCCGAGACCGGGGTGGGAGCTTCTTCTCCTCTCCCCGGCCGAGCTCCGTGCCGGCACGGTTTGGTCCCGCTCTCCGTAGCCGGACGCTTCCATGGAGAACGAGGTAGGTGCTGCTTAGGGTTCAGCTCCCGCAAATGCAGAAGTTGTCACGTCACACCGGGGTGACGCCTCCGCCTTGCGTTTGGGCCCCAAAAATCCTCCTTCGGGGAGACCCGAAGGGCTCAGGAGCACGGGAATGCCCGTCCCGTAGCAGCATCATCCCAACCCAAATCCTGGAGGTAAAAAACAAGAGGTTCTTCTGGTTTGCTCCATACGAATGGGTCGGATCCGGCAGCCCCGGCTGCCGTGTGTGCGGAGCAGCCTTTGCCCCGTTTGCCTGTGAAATGCAGATTAACGTTGCCATCCTTGCGGACAAATGAAAATTACGGAGATCGTGTGTGACTGTAGCACTCTTCTCTCCACCCAAATCATACCGCACGTCACCTGGAGAGGGGGAGAAACCTTGTAATTTTAGGGATAAAAGACAGAGAAAACGACTGTTAAATTGGGAAAGAGAAACCTCAACACCTGCCGGAGCAGTCGAGAGGCTGCCCTGGCTGAACGCCGAACCTCTCGCTCTCTGGTGAACGTTACCCCCCCGGGCTGTATTATTAATATTTCTGCTCGCAATATTAACCTTAATTAGTAGCACTAATCTACTTAGTGAATTTACCAACAGCAATCTTGAATTGGTTGTTGCTCTCAATAACGTAACTAATTTCAATTTTTGTGAATCGGATCAGCGCCGGTCCTTTGGCTGGGACCCTGAGAAATGGATCAGCGAAAGTCCTGGCACTCTGACTGACAAATATTGAAACTACATCCCTTTTAACGCCACGAGCCGTGACGCCGGCGACAGATTTCTGCCTCTCTCCGCTTTTAATTCCTAAAAGCTGCTGGCGGAACGAGATCCTGCCGAAGTTTGGGGTTGGAAACCCTCGTAGTCAGGGTGACAGAGCCCAAGTCGAGCCCCACGCTCCCATCCTGGCCAACAGACTTTTTACCTTGAGGATTTCCTTCTTTTTGGAGGCAGGAGCGGTCCCAGCTCTGGCACCGGGACGGGATGCTGTGCCCACAATTGGTGGTGCTGCTCCTGCTGCCAGGAAGGCAGAGCCGTTCTGAGCTGTGTTTTCTGTTCCTTTTGTCCTCTAAACTCACCTATTTTTATCTCCCTGGTCCAAGGAGCCTTTTTTTTCAGGGCCAGGCTGTCCTTGCGGCGCTTGGCTCGCTCTGGGAGATGGTAAATTCAACCGGGAGCTTTTCCATCCCACTTTCCTGCCCTAGCAATGCTGGTTTCAAATCTTTTCGGTCTGGCTTTGATGTCTTGCATTCCTGTATATCTCGAGGAAAGCAACGAGAGGGGCTGAAGCTGCCTGAAGGGAGCAAATCCTGCAGGAGGGGACACTGCTGGGAGCAGGTGACGTGATGGCACAACACCGTGTCCTACAGCAAAGCTCAGCAGATTTAGGTGAAGCCTCTGCAACAGCTCCTGATTGCGGTTTCCAAGCAGATGACCTGAATTTACTGGAGTTTGTGAAGCATCTTGTACTTTCCCGAGCGGGAACGCTCGCTTTATATTTAATTAATTCACCTTGCGAAGGATCTTTCTTGCCTCTGCACCTCGCACGGTTCTTTTTCTCGCCTGGGAGAATCAGGAAAGCCGAAGTGTCGTTGCCCCGAGGACTGGGAAGCAGAGAGCTGCCGCGGATCCTGAGCGTTGGCTCCCCCCTCGCTTCGAAACTGCCAATTTGAGCCGCTCAGCTTGGACTTGGAGAAGTTTGCGCACGCTGCCGGGCGTTTCGCCGTGGTGTGGGGATCTCCCACGGTTGGGATCCCCTGCGATGGCCCCGTGGCCGCAGCGTTCCCGGCTGAGGTAGAAGGACGGCGACGATGCTCCCTCTATAGCTGGGAGCCCGTGTGTGCACACTCACACCTGATATTTTTTTCCCAAATCCAGCACTGGACGGCTTAGAAACGGTGAAGATTTGGTTTTTTCCCAGGGGAAGCCACATCGTGGGTCCTGGACTCGAGTTTCTGGGTCTCCCCGGAGACCTCCGACAAGTTTGCAGCATCTCTGTCTTTTCCTTTCACGACCCTCCAGCGAATTGTCGGGGGAAACGTAAAATCGTGCCAAGGCGAGGAGGAAGCACGCCGCCTCCGCTCGCTCTTACAGCCCTTAACCTGAATCCGTATTTGTGATTGTTCTTAACTGAAAGGTTGGGAATCGTGACTTTGGGGGAAAAAAATGTCCCGTTCTGGTAGCAGGAGCTTATGATCGCTTCGTGTGTCACGACAGGAAAGTGGTTTTCAGTAGAACATCACTCACTTGTGGATTCACAGCTCCGAAACCAGCCTGTCCACGGGGGTTTTGGGGCTGGTAAAACCAGACTGAGATATATGGGTGGTGGGTGCTGCTGGTTCCTCCCTCGTTTCGGTGCAGAAACCTCCCCTCTCGCCCTTAACACCCGGCACATCCCTTTCTCTCCTCAGCCTGGAATAGTGTCTCCTTTCAAACGAGTCTTCCTGAAGGGCGAAAAAGGTCGGGATAAAAAAGCCCAGGAGAAGGTGACGGAGCGTCGGCCCCTGCATACGGTGGTGGTGTCCCTGCCCGACCGCGTCGAGCCGGACGTGCTGCTGAACGACTACATCGAGAAAGAAGTGAAGGTAACATCTCTCCTGCAGCTCGTTTTTAACTATATATGGCATCAGGATAGCTTCAAAACTTAACTTCTTCTGGATGTGGGTGTATTTAGCGCCTTCTAAACAGAGACCACCAGCCACTTGCCCTCCCTTGACGGTGTCTGCAGCGCTGGGGACGTTGTGTTTAACGTGATGATGGTCTGGTTCTTTTTTTCCAGTATTTAGGCCAGCTCACGTCCATCCCGGGGTACCTGAATCCCTCCAGCCGCACGGAAATCCTGCATTTGATCGATAACGCGAAGGTGAGCTTGTGGAACTTCGTCGGGGCTGGGGCCTGGCTGGCGTCCTCGCTCCTGGGGTCGCAAATGTGGGAGGGAAGCCCGTTACCAAAGGGGAAAACGTTCAGAAAATCCACCTAAATAACATGGATTTCAGCGCGCGCACCAGCTCCCGGGGCAGCTGACCCAAGAGCACGACGCCGTCATCAGTCTCTCTGCCTACAACGTCAAGCTGGTGTGGAGGGATGGAGAAGATCTCATCCTCAGGGTCCCTATCCACGACATCGCCTCCGTTTCCTACATCCGAGATGACTCCTCTCACCTGGTTGTGCTGAAAACAGGTAAGTTGTGACCGGAACCGGTAGGCTGGAGCCTTTTTTTGGGGTTGTGGGTCAAAGCTTTGGGCAGGACCAGCAACGCTGGGTGAGAACAGACCGAAATAATTGAAGTTCCTCACAAAATTATGGCACCGTTTGGGTGGGAAGGGACCTTTAGAGCTCACCAAGTCCCTGTACCAGGTGGGACATTTCAGCTGGATCGGGTCTGGAGGGGAAGCACGCTCTCACGTGAGGCTCGGAAGCTCTGCCGGCGGCTCCACGTGTGTCGAACCTGCGTGGTTTTGGGAACGCTGAGCTACTTAAAAGATGTAATGACAGAGACTTTATCAGCTTATAAACCCCGTGAGAGCAGAGGACAGTCCATAGAATAAATGAGTAAGTGACTTAGAGGGCTGTAGTTCGGCTGATGGATTTCTGAGGCTGGCTAAGCTGTGGAAACAGAGCTGGCAATTTACAGAATTGTCAGAAACCGGCTCGAAATTACCAGCTTTTTCATTCAGGTGGAATTCCTGGGCTCTCGAGAGCTCCCTTTTCCAGGGGGATTTATCTTCCACCTGCAGGATCCTCTCCTCTCCTGCTTCAGGAGGGGTTTGCTCACCCCACAGGCATCTGACTGGGCGAGGGCTCCTCGATCTTCTCTCCCCGCCTCGACCTTTTCCGTCACGTTTTCTCTCTTTCTCAGCTCAGGACCCTGGGATCTCCCCGAGCCAGAGCCTCTGTGCCGAGAGCTCCAAAGCCCTGACGTCGGGCTCGCTGTCGGAGAGCGGCGTGGTTCCTGTCGAAGCTTGTTGCCTGGTGGTCCTGGCTACCGAGAACAAAGTAAGATTCCAGACGCTCGCTTAAAACTCTCTCCCGCCTTGGGGTCGCCTCCAGAGCCACTCCCCAAACGCAACGACACTAGGACTGGGATTACTGGGAGGTTTTCTGGCTCGTAGACCAGAGTGGCCGTGACTTTTTGGGTTGACGGTTGGAGAGCTGGGAGCCCCAGGGTGGCGTCATCCTGCTCTCCCCACGAGTCCCACCTGCTAAGTGCCCCTGTTTTTGCCAAGCCACGGGTTGTGGGACTCACGGAGCCGCAGTTTTAAGACTTCAGGGTTGGGTTGAGCTTCGTTGGCACATAAGGTGCTACTTGAAGGAGGAAACTTGCTCCTTGCCCCAATCCCAGGACTTAATTCAGACACAAGAGAGTGTCAGAAGACTATTTTCCCCTGGTGGTGGTGCCTCTGCCCAGAGCTTTCTCCAGCAGCAGAAAAACATCTGCAAAGACAACTGAATCTCTCCCACAATAGGATTTTGCTAACCAAGGCATTTTCCTGTTGCTGACCTAGAAAGTTGTTTCATCCGATATCCTGATCCAGCAGATCCTGCCCTCAACCCACACGTTCCTACTTCTACAGGCAGGAACCCTTTGCCTTCAGGATGGGCTTTTGCTCACTTTGTTTTCAGCTCTAACGCTCTCTAGGGTGCCTACACATAGTTGGGATGTAGGTTACGTAGCCAAAACCCCACGGAGATGAACTGAGTAGGACAGAGCACTAACAAGAAATCTGGGTGTTAATTAAGAGCTGCAAGCTGACAATGGAGCATCTGACCTCTTCTTGCCTGGGTCTGGCCGGTTGAAGAGCGCTGGGACGCTCCTCCAGGGCGATTTATCTCCTCCAGCCCCAAGAACAAACCCCAGGGGACAGGAGGAGATTAAGGGAACTGAAGAACGAGGCGACCTCGGTCTCTTGTGCCTCGCCCCAACCCTTCTCGGCTCCCTCCCCAGGTGACCGCCGAGGAGCTGTGCTCCCTTCTCAGCCAAGTCTTCCAGATTGTTTACACCGAGTCCACGATCGATTTTTTGGACAGGGCGATATTCGATGGGGCGTCCACGCCGACCCGGCACATGTCCTTACACAGCGGTGAGTCCTCGCCCTTCCCGCTTTGCGCAGTTCTTCCCAGATGCACCCGAGGGTCTCTCCTGGCACCTTTGGTCGGAGCCAGCCTGGCTGCGAAGGACTGAAAAAACACAACCCCACCCTCCTCTGCTTTTTTTCTGCCTCTCAGACTCCCTCTCTCTCATCTTTTCCTTGCAGACGACTCTTCGACGAAAGTGGACGTCAAGGAGTCCTACGAAACGGAGGCAAGCACTTTGTAAGTGAGCTCGCTCGGGCTTGTTAGTTCAGCCTCGCTGTCGGGTTTAACAGGAACCGCTGCGCTCTGCAGATCGAAAAAGCGTCGGCTCAGGCCGGCTCAAAAACATCGGTCGGCGTTTTTTCGCTGCCTCCACGGCCGCGTCGTTCTGCCGGTCACGTACGCAATGTGCGCGCGGTCCCCTGCGTCAGCAAAGCGGGGACGCGGCGCTCGCCTGGCGGATTTGCCTCGTTGGAGGCCGGCTGGAGTTGGGAGGAATTTTAGAAACTCTTTTTCCCCCCTCCTGAAACAGTTGATCGTGTTTGGGGGCTGAAAAACCAGACGGGCAAAACCAGTCGTTTCAAAACCGACCGATGGAAAATTCACAGTTAATGCCAAAATAAGGTTGTTCGAGGCTTTTCCCTGCGCTGCTGCGAAACGAGAAAGCAGCCAGAGGAGGTTGATGCCCACGTAGGGCTTCGGTTTCAGTAGGTCACCAAATCAACACAGCTCAAGTCGGTGCAGCGCTGCGGGAGCCTTCAGGAGCTCAGGGTGTGCATCTCCATGTTCCTCTCTGTTCTTCCGGGCTCCCCTGCGCCACGGAAGGCGCCCGAGGAGCTCCAGAGGGTTCACGATCTGTTTTGCCTTTCAGTTCCTTTCCAGAAACCTTGGACGCAGGCGACAACTCCCCCTCGTCCTTCTCCACGCAACAGTCGCCGCACGTTAAGACGGTCAGCGAGAGCGAGCTCAGCACCACGGCGACCGAGCTGCTCCAGGACTACATGATGACGGTAGGGTGGCCTTGGGTGACAGGCTCGAGGACGTTTTGTTCCCTTTAGGGCATCTGAGTGCTCTTGGGAATTCGGGTTCGTCACCTCGGCGCGTAGAACGTGAGCCCGTGCTGGTGTGGGAACATCTCGGCCTCCTCCTTTCTGCACAAGTTGTGCTTTGAGGCCTTGCGGTACCTCGGGGTGACATCCTTCTCCTGCAGGAGCAACCATCCCCGGCCGAGTCCTTCATGTCACGAGTCGTGGTCCCTGTTTGAAAGCTGCCAACTTAGGGGTGGCTGCGCCAGCTTGTCCCATTTTTCCGTCAGAATCAGCTGGCTCCTTACTGCAGCTCTTGCCACAGAGCAACAAACCCTATAAGCCCCATCTCCAGGCTTCCCATCCTGGCTCCTTAAAAAAAAAAAAATTAAAAAAAAAGATATCACTGATGTTTGTGCTTCTCTTCCGCAGCTCCGGACAAAACTCTCTTCCCAAGAGATCCAGCAGTTCGCGATGCTCCTGCACGAATATCGCAACGGCGCTTCCATCCACGAGTTCTGCATCAACTTGAAGCAGCTCTATGGGGACAGCAGAAAGTTCCTGCTCTTGGGTGAGCGTCACCCGCCGGGGATTCAGCGTGGGCCACCAGCTGGAGGGCAAGAGCCGCTCCTGAGCCCTCCTTGACGTTCCTGGTACCGATGGTTGACGGGGTGCAAGGGGACAGGTGGTGCCAAGAGTCCTCGGGGTGGCACAGAGAGACGAGCGATGTCTCGATCCTTCTCTTTCCCGAGGGCAGCCGGGTCTGTCCAGCTCAGGCCCCTGGCGTACGGAACACGCGTTCCCCCGGTGGGGGAAAGAGATGCATTCGTGCCCCTTTGTTAAAAGGAAGCTGAGAGCCCTCGGGAGCTAAAACTCCCTGATTTTTTTGGCTTTAATGAGCTGAAAGAGGAATGAGAGCTGGTGGGGTTGAGGCAGGAGCACTCACCAAAGGGGTCTCTGCTCCAGCTCCGGGACAGGCAAGGACTCAGCCAAGCGCGATTTCCAACAATGCAGGGACTGAACCGGAGCCGCCCGTCGCGACGCTTTGGG